ATTATTGCAGGAGATCAAGGTGCAGTCAATGTCATTAACTCTTAACAAAACATCCTACTTCATTCACCCTCAACTGTCAATCCTTTCTTTCTACTCCCAAACTCCAAATTCCCCAATCCCCGCCCTTCTTCACCTCCTGCAGAGACTCTTACATCTGGTGACTCTACCTCTCCAGCACTCTCATTGGTACATGCAGACAGCTCATTAATATTCATGACCTGGGCAGATGCTACAATGTCCTTCTATATATTTTGGTTATAGTTCTGAAAACCCCCTAGAATTCTATTTATTTTGTTCTGGAGTTTGAGACACTTGAGTTAAGTCCACAAAGCATAACCAAATTGATTTCTATTATTTTGTTAACTTCATCCTTTAGAAATTCTAAAAAGTACAAAAGATAGCAAAATCCTTGATGCACCTATATGCCTATTGTTATTCATTTTAATTTTGGCTTCTTGGGTTTATATACTATACTTGACAGTCTTTCCCCAGTTTTTTTTTAATTGCTAATATTTTGCTATACTGTATTTAAGGCTATCAAAATCTTCAAAATCAGCAAATGTTGTGCATAACCAAATCTCTTACATAAGTATCTTACTGAGTTATAATTGATTTGCACCAGTCTTCACATTGCAACAGAGGCTTATCTTGTTATTTTATTTATGTATTTATTTATTTGATCTGTATCCCGCCCATCTGTTCTGGTCGAACATAAATTGATCTCCAGCTAATGCTTCTTTCCAATACAGTTACAAACGCCCCTACCTACGAACATTTCGACTTACGAACAGCTCTGCTTGCAAAATTTTGCTTCAACTTGCCGGAGGAGCTTCGATGTAAGAACAGAAAAAGGCAGGGGAAATAGCCAGGAAATGCAAACCGTTGGTGGCATAGAGGCTGTTTTTTTTTTAGCTCTTCGCCCCAACGTTTAGAGCAGGGGATAAGGGAACTTTTTACTCCTGCAGTGCAGGAGGAGGAAGGAGAGGCGGGGGCGGCTCTGGATTGCCGCGAAGCATGGGAAGCCGGTGCGCTCCCTGCCCATTGCCGCGGAGCATGGGAAGCCGGTGTGCTCCCTGCCCATCCCTGGTGCAGGTTTACTCATGCGTAAGGGTCCCTTCCACCATGGCTGGCCCCACCTCAGCTGCTCTACGCTTCCAGCGGGGCCCTGTCGCCGGCCACCATCCGCCGGGGAGTGAGTGCCATCGGAGGAGGCTTCAGTCTGCCTGGTAAGGTGCTGCTTTTTTGCTCTTTAGAAACTTCTGGGTGGGTTTTGCAGGGTGGGTTTCAGCTGAGGGGGGTTATGCTTCTGTGCTGTGTTGTTGTTGTTTTTTTGGTAATCTTTTTTTTTGCAGTCCCAGCGTGGGGATTGCTCCATGTTTATTTTTGGTGGGCTTTGTTTCTTTTTTTTGGCAGCCTTTGGGGCTTGCTCTCTTTATTTTTAGTTGTATTTTTTAAAGCCCCAGCACCTTCCAATAGGGCTTTCTGTGTGCTTGTCCACACCTTTTTAGACCCTGACCAAGAAAAGCAATGCACTGTTCACGTGGATGATAGAAGATGAAGTTTTACATATCTCACAGGCAATGAATAGAACTTATCCAAGAACTAGTGTATGGTCCAAACATGAAGTTGATGCTGAGGATCTATAGATACAGATGGAATGTTTTGATGGTGTAGAAAGATTTTGGTAGCTGTAACACAGACCATGGAAACTGAGAAACTGATCAGTTCTCTGACTGTATGGTCATACTGTTCAAGGAGCACTGCTAGTACTGTATAATGTAATCACCACCCATTCAGGCCTAGCTAAAAACAAAACAGAAAGTTGTAGAAGCAATGTAACATCATCAAGAGATAGTAGGCTTCTGATGTTACGGGCAACCCTGTTTGTTCCTTTGACCACAAAATTATGTGCAGACATTGTTATCTCATTACTTCCAAGCTTTGCTTATAACCCATCCCATTACCTGTTCTTTACCCCTATTCCAGCCATAGAGACTTGGACTTAAAAATATTTACATGGAACTTTAGGCCAGTTAAATAGTAGAGTGATGGGCAATCCATAATGCTCTAGATGTTGCTAGACTGCAACTTTCATTAACATAGCTGGTGATGGAAGCTACAGTCCAATATTTTGAGGGATATTACTTCTAATTTAGTACACACTAGAATTAGGTTTGATCCATGGCTGCAGTCATTTAGAAGGATTGGGAAGAAATGGTGCACTGTGACACCCAAGCAGAATGTGTGGCACAAGGATCAGTGGCCTTGTCTTTCCAAAGGTTTGTCCAGAGGAATTCCTGACATTCAATGCTCTTCATTTTGCCCAATCCTCTGCATTCCATCCAACCACATAAAACAATGCGCATTTGGTTGTTTGCTAGTTTCCTGCTGGGGCTACACATGAGTCTACCTGCATGAAATAATCCTTGAGTAACAAGGGGTCATATCCACTGTCAATGCTCTTAATGCTGACATGTCCATTGGCTCCAGCCTTCAGAAACTGCCCATTCTGCATGGTAGAAAAAATGACATGTGCTTTCATTCAGCATTGAAGGAAACTGGAAGGTTTGAAAGACTGAGAAGTCTGCAGATGGCATTGGAAAATCATTAATCTTGTTAGGAGCCACTAGAAAAAGAAAACAGCAGGGGGGGAAAAAACAGAATGAGCAAGCCAGCAGTCATGCATAGAGAAAGCATGTTTATATATGAATATATGTAAATATACTAATTTACAGAAGCAAAGCATGAGGAGTGTTGTGCCTGTGAGCTCCTCCATCTGAGTTCCCCCACTAGATGCACTTGTTCTTCTCTCATTGGTTGTATTTTCAGCAGCCATGCGTAGACCTTCCCACACTTGGAAGATACTAGCTTAGTACCCTTTCCTACATGCAGCATCAGACACAAAATATGTAAGGAAACTCCATTTTCACTATACAGTACTCAAGTGAGTAGCCACACAGCTGTTGAATGAAGTAGCACTGGTGGTAATAGACCTGATATGTAATGTGTGTATGTGCATCATGTATAGCTCCTTAAATGAGATCAACAAGTGACTGCAGCACTTCAGAAATACCAAGAATTTCACACAGCAGTCTGTGAAAGGAGCAACCATTCCCCACTGCAACCAGACTAAACAGGGAGTAGCCTGATAAAGTTATGCAAAAAAGCAAAAGTAGCCATGGAAATCATAGGAATTCCAAAATCTGTATGAATGAAACATCTCTATGAGGCCAAACAAAAGGACACAGACAAATGCATGCACGTTTTTAACAGATCTATCTCTTCAACAGGAGATATGTTTAAATAAACAGGTGGGTGGGGGAAGAAAATATTTCTGACTCAATATTTAAGTCAAGATGTCTGCATGGTGTCACAACACAGAATGAGGAAAGGGTTTTGTTTATCTAGTCTTAACTGTGAGAACGGAATGCCAGGGGTGGGACCCTTTTTATATCATGCCTTCTTTCTTTCTTTTTCTTTTATTATATACAACCAATCAGTGCAAACTGCTAAGTTAATGGTCAGGTCTCGCTCGATCTGCTCCTGCTCTTGAGTTTTCCCTTTCCTCCTTCAGTCTTCCTTCGACTCTTTCTCCAAGCTGTTTCAAACGGCATTATTTCTTCTTCCTTCTCGAACAGAAACAATCTTCCTTTCTCCGCCTATTCTTATCCTTTCCTGTTTCCAGGTTCCGCTACTTCCTTTCCCAACTGGCCTCAACTCTGCCTTTCAATCCCACCCAAACGAAAGAATGCGAAAGGGATTCTCGTCGCTCTTTCTCCGTCCCCCCTTTGCCCCCCCTTTTTTTCCTTTTAAATTACACACCCTAACCTGCTCTCTCTTTCTCCACAGCCGTCTTTTAGAGGAGGGTCATTGGCTGTTGCTAGAGGCCCCTCTCCCCGGATTGGCTAAGTCGCGCAGCCGCTCGCTTCGCCCCTTTCCAGACTTGTTGTCTGGCTCTAAGGCTGAAAGTCGGAGGGGGGGGGGAAACTAGCGCAGCTGCGCGTTGGGGCCGACAGGGGAAGGGAAGGGAAGAGAGTGTCAGTCTGTCACGCCTGGCTGTCTGGGCGGCGCTATGGCGTCTCCCCCATGGCCTGGGTGGCGGCGGGAACCATAGCCCTAGTAGTAATCGTGGTCTCGCCGCTCTCGTTTATCGTGGTTCCCCCCCACACGCCCTTATTTTTTTTGGGGGGGGAGTGCAGAAGAGACACCTCAGCCAGTCCCTGACGGGCGTCCTGAGAGGGAACTGTCTAGGGAGAGAGAGAGAGAGAGAGAGAGGAGGGAGGCGGGAAGGGGAGAGGAAGGAAGGGGGAAGTGTGAAGAGGAGGAGCCGCCGCCGCCGTGTGAGGGAAGGAAGGGCTGGCAGAGCGAAAAGCAAGGCGAGGGCGAGAAGGAAGCTGAGACGAACGAGCAGAAGAGAGGAAAGCTACGGAGGGGAGGAGGAGAAAGCGCTTGTTGCGCTCCCCCCATTTCGGGTCTCCCCTCACACCGCATTCCGCTGGTGGCGGCGGCGGCGCGGGGCTGCGGCAGGCGCCCCTCTGACGTTCAGGTCCCGGCCTAGTGAGGGGGACGCGGAGAGACGAGAGAAACCCGGAGCGGAGGGGGGGGTGTCGACGGAAGAGGTGGATTCGGAGTTGCAGCCTCGGAGAAGAGGAGCCGGGCCGAGGGCTTTGTGCCCCCCTCCCCGACCTCCGTTGCTGTTTGCGGCCGCCGTCGCCGCCGCCTCCCCGTGAGGGGCAGGAAGTGACTCCTCACCCGGGACTGGGTGGTGTTTTTGAGGCACCTGAAGCCGCATATTTTGTCACAGCGGAAAAGGAGTCGGGGAGGGACGGGGTGGTGGTGGAGGAGAAAGCTGAGGCGCACCGAGACCCGAGAAAAACAAAAACACCGAACTCAGCACCTCCGGCCTTCCACCTTTTTTTGGCTCGTAAGCTTGGCACTGCTGCCTCCCCCCCGCGAGAGCTGTTGCATCCTTCCCTACTTTTTCCTCTCCTGACTGTCGAGGAGGACTTGCATTGGATTTAAAGCATGTCTGGATAGCATAAGAACTCGATGTAAATGGAGGAAATCTGGACGTCCGAAATCTGAGGTTGGTGGAGTGAGCGGGACGGGGGGGGGAAATTGAAAATCTTGGTGGGGGCCAGAGCGTGGAGGGTTTGTGTGCATGCGGGTCAGGGAGAGAACGGGGGCGAGTTGGTTCTTCATTTTGAGACCGTGGTGGGGATAATTCTGCCTCCCCATTTCTGTTTGCCTCTTCAGTTTGCATTTTCTTTTTTCTTTTTCCTTTTCCTGGATTATGAATGGAGCTTCCCGTTTCTGCCTCTGTAATCATTGCTTACATTTTTTTCCCCTGCGGAGAGAAACCTAGGAAAGCCTTTTTGTGTGTGTGTAGAGTGGAGGGAGTGAAAGCTTCTCAAACAGGAGTTTCTTTGTTCCGCAGCAGAAGGTATTGAAGTGAAACTGCCTGATTATGCATTCGTGATTTTAAAACATGTCGCCTAGTGGAAGCAGTCGTTTCTTCCTCTTAGACGATTCTAGTTGCATTCAAAACCCGATTATTCTGTTATATCTGTAGCTTTGTTAAGAGTTCCAGACCTTGTTTTGAGGACTACGGTGTCTTTAACAAGTTTTTGGTAGGTTTGGAATAAGTATAATTTTCAAAGGCCTGTAAAGTACTTGTGACCCTACGAAGTCTTAATTTTCAAAACTTGGGCGCGTCTCAGAAGTTGTAGTACTGAAAGTATTTCTCTTGTACTCCCATAGAACAATTCCAGCATGTTTGATTAATGCTGGTTGACTAGTCTGACGTAATTTTGGAAGATAAACTTCAAAATACAGTTTGTATATTAACTTTTTTTTCTTTTAGTGTTCTCAAGAAGTGGAATTGGCTAATAATGTGCTTACTGCTTATTTGCCTGCATGCCTTTAGTCTTGATGAAATTGGAAACCAAATGTGAAGATAGTTACAATGTGCTAAACCGAACTGCAATACAGTACATCCATTGAAATCAATAGAATGTGTGTTATAGTCATTTCAGTAGGTCTTTTTTTGTTTGGATTAACGTTAGATTTAGCCCAATGGGTGTTCTTAAACCTGTTTGAAGATCATGCAAATTAGGTTATGAGGAAAATACTGCCTGTTATCTGTGATGATGGATTCACAGAAAATTGAACATTTGCTTTTAGACAAATATATGTTCTCAAAATCTGCACTACATTTATAGACTGAATATGAAGTTTCATCAGTCTAGCACAGATCATTTTGATCTACAGCACATATATGTTTTACTTTTACTGTCTGTGCTAATGCGAGAAAAGACAGATTTATCAATGAACAAATGTTCAATCATGCACATGATCCTTAAAGGCCCTAGAAAGGTTACTCTTGGCCATCTGAAAGGTTTGGAATAGATGGCAGTGAACTTCAGCTTCCTTATTTGGTTTATGCTTGGCAGAAAAGCAGTGATGTCTGAATAGAGTAATCTTCACAAGGAATGAAAACTTCTAAACTAAAGTTACATTTGCAGCAATGGCTTTAGATTGTAAAGAAGTAAAATGTTTCAGTGTGTGATAAATGTATCAGTGGGTGACAAATGTGTCTGTAAGCTTTTGCATTTGTTTTGAGTTGTTCATTGCTCTTGTTCCTCTGTATTGGACTTTTCTAAAAATTCTTTAATAATACAACCTTACAGGATTAGGAATCTTCTGACGAAATTAGTGCTTTTGATTTTGATTACAGTAATACTAATGTTATAAAATGTCATTAATTTAATATAGTTTAAAATGATTTGTTACGATCATTGCTGCTAGCTGAGTTTATATGATAGTAAATTAACTCACAGGCTTTTAAATTTTTCTCTTTAGCTGGCTGGGTTTTAGGTTGCTCATGGCATGTGTGCAGAGTGTATTGCATTCATGTGCAGCAATGTTTTCTATTTTAACTTTTTCAACTGAATTATCTATAAGAACTTTGAAATTATATTTACAAGATTGCTCATATACTGTACTGTATTATGATTTTCTTGGAACAAAGATACAACTATGTGCTATGCTTGGAAATATGAGCTACATTTCTTTGTCTTACAAAGTTGTTTCAAAAAGCAGTAATAGCAGTAGTGAGCTTAGGAACTTAAGTGGGCCTCCCCTCTGATTTTTGCTTGACTTTAAAAAATAGGTGAATGTCATCAAGCATAACTTTATTGAGCTGGTCACCTGAGAGTAATAAATAAATCCAAGCATAACATTATAGAATTAAACCCAAAATAACTTTGATCCAGGTTTTCTAAAGAAATATATGTCCCCATATAAGTATCTCAAGCTTCCACTATACTGTATATGGAAGAGTTTGCTCTCTGGATCCCGCCACCCTCATAGGCATGTTTGGTCAGAATGTGAGAGAGGGCCTTTTGAGTGGTTGCTACCAAGTTATGAAATATCCTCCATTGAGAGGCCTGTTTGGTGCCCACCCTATTGTCTCTTCATTGACAGCGAAGACCTTTGTTTTTAATGTTTGTAAAATAGTATATGCTTCTTGGTTTTTAATGTTATGATTTGCTGTGTTTTTAATTATACTTGCATTTTAATTACTTCTGAGCAGCTTTAGATCCCTACACTGGGAGAAAAGAAGAACAGAAATGAAATAATAAATAGATGAATAATTCTGTACTAGTATTTGTCGGTATACTGCCTGCTGCATGGTACTATTCCTATGTGGAGAAGTTTTGATTATTTTTTTCTTGATGCACATAAGTTACAGTAAAAAGTAATCAAATGGGTAGATAGCTAACGTACAGTCTATTTACATGCTTACTCAGAAGTAAGCGCCACTTAAGTTCAGTGGGACTTACTTGATATATGTAGATGTTGGATTGCAGCTTAAAGTACAGTAAGTTTATCCCAAACAATAATGAAATGTCAGTACTTATGGATAACAATTTCCTTCTCAGTGCCAACAGACAGGCTAGAACAGTGGTTCACAGATGTTCTTGGACTAAAACTTCCAGAAGCTTTCACCAGCAGTGCTGGCCAGGATTTTTGGGAGTTGTAGTCCAAGAACATCTGAGGGCCAAGGTTGGAAGCACTGCTCTTTCAAATAATTGTGCATGATGACATGCTTCTGAAAAAAATATTTTTGTGGTGGTGGCTCTTAAGGAACATGCTCTGAACCTTGCCGGCTGTTTTGATCATAGAAGTGGTGAACAGAAATACTTTATTAGTCTACATATTTTAAACCTGTATCTATTCAACCATTAAATATGTGCTTATGTTAAACCCTAGGGCAGCTTACTGCATAATTTTTTGTTTTGTTTTTGTACATATGTTCATCGACACAAAATGTCAGCTTCTACTTTTGTTCAGGAAGCAAACATGTGCATACGAAACACAGGCCAGGTTCCTGTGGTGTGTGCCCACTGGGTCCTGCTGCTTTCAGCATCAGCAGTCTGCCTCCTGCCTGCAGCCCAATGTGCACCCTACAGACCTGCTTTGGAGGGATGGGAAATCTTCTGGAAAAGACCTTCCGTGCCACTGGGAGAAGAAGAATACCTTAATTCTCTTGATTCTTGATTCTGAAGTAGACATTTCATCTAACCTAAGAGAAGGCAGCTTGAACCCATGGGAGTTGGCACCAGTTCTTCTATGTTTTTCAGGTTAATAGCCTGCCTTCAGAGCATTGTAAATACTGGAAGGAAGCAAAATGTGTAGAATCCAGGCCTTTCAGGTTTTCAGATGTTTAGAATAAAAGCCTGAATTGTGCCCTTTGTGATCCCTGGGGTGCTGGCACAATGTTTTCATCGTAATTCTGTTCTTCACTAGCTGCATCCTTTGAAGGGAATGTATGTTCTGGTTGCAATGCAATAATAGCCAGGTCTTGAGATTACAAATGTAGGAATGATTACTGCAAGAACTAACTCTTATAACTGTGAAAACTGTATCTTCACCATAAAATCATTTGCAGCCACTGTTGTAGTTCCCACAGTCTGTGTGTATTGACAGTATACACAGTATAAGTAGATCTCAAGAATGTAGGCAGAATGCTTAAAATGGTGACAGTTACTACCTGCTCACTCAGCCCTCACCCCTTCTGGCTAATCAAATCTGACATGGCTAAGGAAATGATAAATGTTTTCTGAAAGAAGGTGTCTGTGCCTATCTACCTAGGGGAACTACCATAAAGCCATTTAAAAATGAAGCTGCATTTGAACTAGAAGTTTTATTAGCTATAGGCCAGTCTCAGACTTACCATTTTAGGCTAAGGAGGTCAGACTTGAATGTTCCTTTTAAGCTGCATGCATTGTCCAGAGTTTTGCTGGGGTTGTGCACAGGCAACCAGTTTTTTAACTTCACATTTTGAATGAAGCCACACTGACCCCTTCACACATGGACCGAGGTTCCCGTGCAGTGGGACAAAAACTTAGAGGGAACATTGCTGGGCACTCTTGCATTATATTGATAGTCTGGGCCCATTTTAGTTGAGTTTTTGGCTAGGATAAAGGACTAAGATTTCACCTACCCAGGAACTGGATAACGGAAGCGCAACCTTGGTTGTTGTAGGTTTTTCAGGCTGTTTGGCTGTGTTCTTAACGGTTTTCTTCCAAATGTTTTGCCAGTCTCTGTGGCCAGCATCTTCAGAGGATAGGAGTCAGAACTCTGTCTATGCTCTGGTGCAGTTTGTGGGATAGTTGAGTATAACTGTGGGAGCAGCTTTTTGTCCTTTTCAGGAGATAGGGCGATTATGGTGATCAGTGTTTTTGTTGTCGTTTTTGTTGTTGTGGGTGTATTGTTGTGATAAGGGAGAGAGATGATCTGTCACTGTTATTGATGGAAGTCGTTAGCTGGTCTTTTGTGTGCAGTGATCACCGGTCCTTGTGGCTGGGTAGAGTTTGTTGACCTTTTGCAGGCTGTATTTTTCAGTGCTGGGAGCCAGGCAACAAAGCCGAGCTTGATAATAAGTGGAATGAGTGTGAACAAGCTGAAACTAAATCCTGAGAAGATGGATGTCAGTAGGAAGTCAGATTTGCGAATTGGGATTCAACCTCTTGTGGAAGGGGTTCCTCTTGTGCTCCTCTTGACAGATCAAGTTTGTAGTCTGGAAGTGGTCCTTAACTCTGCATTGTCATTGGACTCCCAGGTAGCAATAGTGACAAGTTTAGTGCAATAGCTATAACCTTTCCTGAGTTGACTTTACTTAGCAGAAGTCATCCATGCCATAGTTACATCACATCTTGACTATTGCAATATGCTCTGTGTGGATCTATCCTTGATGAGAGTTTGGGATGTTCAGTTGGTGCAAGGTTTGGTAGTTAGGCTGCTAACTGTTGTCATGATCATATGACCTCAGTACTGAAAGATGTTTATTGGCTACCAATTACTTACCAGGCCCAATTTAAGGTGTTGGTTTTAACCTTTAAATCCTGAAATGGCTTGAGGCCTGGCTATGTGAAAGGACTGCCTATCTCATTATAAGCCTGTCCAGATTTTCAGGAAAGGCCGTTTAAAAAATACTAACAGTTCCAGAGACCCAACTAGCGAGCACATGGGAGAGGGCCTTCTCCTGTGTGACTCCTTGGTTGTGGAATACATTCTCTTCTGAGTTGTGACCTTTCTCCACTCTGGCTGATTTTAAAACTGGAATTTGATATTTGCCTGCTGTGTTGTTTGTAATCTGTATCCTTTATAGTTTTAATGGTTTTTAATGTACTTTGCTTAATTTTTTATGTTTTTATGGTGGGATGGGTTTATATGATTTTATTATTGTTTTAGCTAAATATGGTTTTATCTGTTTTTACAGATAATTATTGTGACTTTTGGAAGCCACATTCAGTAATCTGGGTGCTGAGGTTGCTTCTGAATCTGCCGCTTCAGTTTTTGTACTATCTTGCAAACTCCATGTATTTTCCACCAGAAATACTACCGCAACAATGGTATATCTGGGGCAAATGTAAGTGCTACATAAATTTTGGAGCTTTTCTGAATAGAAACAATATTAGCTCAATAGAGTTCAGCGGGTATGCCCTTGAAAACTATATGAAGTAACCTTGTAATTTACATTTTTGTATGTCATTAGATGTGTCTTAGTTAACATATATCAAGTCTGAATTTGCTCTGTTACGAGCTTGGTCTTGCATCTTTTGCAGATAATTGTACATTGGCTTAGATATCAAAAAAACAAAGACCAGTACTATGTGTGCAAAAATGTGCCATTTAAATAATTAATGCTGCAGATGGATATAATAGTAGCATAAAGTAAGAAGTATTTTTCTTTGGAAAATGACCTCTAAAATTCTTAACCAATTTATAATTGTCTGTAGAGTAAAGGTTGAGTTATAGGTGACTAAACACATTGGCTTGAAATGTTTGTGTGGTGTGACTTTGGAGGCAAATTGTCTCAAGTTAAGAACTCTTTCCAGGTCACACAATTTAGTGTACAACAGATAATATTAATTAGGGGTGAGACTTTTAAAAGTTATTTTTTAATCCCTGGGTCCTCTCCAGGTATGCACAGTTGAGGCGTATGTTTGACAGGTGGAACTCCCAGAATGAAGAATTCTGGGATTTGGAATGGAAAAAAAAGGAACATCCCTAATGTTTGGTGATTTCTTATCTTAAGGAAATTTAGCTCCGAATGTTACTGTGTTTCTGTTTCAACAGCATAACTAGGGAAGAGGATTTCGGTCAACACGTTTGGATCCAGAGGCATACTTCTGTAAATGGAAAGGAGTCAAATGTAGGAGAGTCTTGTGCTACATGAAGAGGGAGACAGGTTTTGCTCATTTGCCTCCTTTCTCATGCAGCTCCATCTCTCACTTTTTTTTTCGGGGCATGCTTTGGAGCAATATTTGTGAGGGTATGGGAAGCTATCAGAAAGGGGGAAATGGTCCTCTTTCCTGCTTCTTCTAGTGGGAACAGTGGGTAGGAGCCCATTTGCAGGAAGTCTCAGTCTAGCTCACTACACTCATATATAACTAGGTCAAGATATGGTGTGATTACTACTGAGTTGTACTATGCTGTTGAAATGACAGTTGAGCAATTTGCTAAAAGTCACATGAATGGATAATAGGGTGGGTAAAATAAATAACTCACTCCAGATCATGCTGAGAGAGGGTCAGGGTAATAAATGAGTTAGGAATCATCATAAGAAAAAACAATGCCAAAAATCTGTGAATGGAGTATACTAAAGGATTCTGCCATTGGTTTACAGATGGTTTGGATTCTTCAGTCTGTTTAACAATTTTGGTGTATTAACTATGATAATGCAATTTTTAAAGAAGTAGCCATGTTAGTATGTCTCAGCAAGTTGGCAAAATTAAAGGGTAACAGAAAAGTATATCTCTGCAGGCCGAAACAGAGATCAAGGCTTCTCAGTGCATTGCATATATTAATAAGTCAGTTTTCTGTAATTGTAGGTGTGAAATAGTTGTCTCCCTTGACAAACTCGGATCTCTGTCCCAGAAACAGTCTTTTTTTCTGTGACAACTAGCTCTATCTGGCCTCTGTCCCAGAAACAGTCTTTTTTTTTTCTGTGACAACTAGCTCTATCTGGCATACAGTTATTTACCTCAGCTAGGACCTGCAACTTTAAGTAATTAAGAGCTTAATAGTTTCATTTCTATGTTAAGGAAGCATTGTCAGTCCACTATCTGTATTCTCACTTGGTCATGACTCTTAGCATGATGGAGATTTGTATACATATAGATGATGCATATTTCTATTCTTGTGGAGAAGTGTATTTTGATTCATAAAAGCTCTTAGTCTTTAAAGTGCCATAATAGCTTGCCTTCATTTTCTCTATTTCTCTTTCCCTCTTTAAACTTCATCAAGAAATTGCTATGATGCAGCGCTGATCAGGTTTCAACCTATACTGAACTAGTAGGATGAAATTACTCAGTTTCAGTTATCACAGTGGCTTCCATATTAATTAAGCTTGTATTGCAAGCAGATAATCCATATTCTCACTTATTCTAAGTTTCTAGTTTGGCTTTCATATTAGAACAAGTACTGTGCTTTAGTTACCCTATTGAAACAGGAGATGGCAAGAATAAACATTCACAGCCTGGGTGTCAGTGAACTAAAATGGACAAGAATGGGCAAATTCAATTCAGACGATTATCATATCTACTATTGTGGGCAAGAATCCCGCAGAAGGAATGGAGTAGCCATCACAGTCAACAAAAGAGTGGGAAAAGCTGAATGGGATATAATCTCAAAAATGATGGAATGATATCAATACGAATCCAAGGCAGACATTTCAACATCACAATAATCCAGGTTTATGCACCAACCACCAATGCTGAGGAGACTGAAAGTGACCAGTTCCATGAAGAATAACAAGACCTTCTAGAACTGACACCAAAGAAAGATGTTCTTCTCATTATAGGGGAT